TCTGCCCAGCTCCCGGCGGCCCCAGCTGTCACTGGTAAGGAGGCGGCGGGAGGCGCCCGTGGGGGGGCAGGGAGCCGGGGGTCGGCGCGCAGGGCGCGGGCGGGAGAGCCTCGCGGTGCTGACATCGGGCCGGGTTGGGCCGACTCAAGTCCCTCTCGGACTCGCCGCGGTCTTGGGGAGTAAAGACTGGGACTGGGACACGCCCCCCTCCCGGGGCACTCAGGGAAGTTATCTAACCCCAAGGCAGTGAACCCCGAATTTGAGGGTGACCTGACGTAACCTGGTGCCAGGATGATTGTTCTGAATGGGACACGCGGGCCTGGGGAGGCAGCCGTTTCTACTCTAGAAAACATTTCTAGAAAAGCTCCCAAAACACATATCTGGGTAACAGAACACGCCAATTATGACACCTCTAAACAGCAGAAGGTGACAGTAGAAACTGAGTGTTAACCTGTGCTTCTGCAATCATCATTTCTGCTAAAACCTCAAGGCCAGGATATAATATCCCAGGAGAGCTCTGGAACCTTGAAAACTAGAGAACTAGATTGGGGGGTTGGGGGATGTACAGAAGAGGAGAGCAAGTCTGCAGAGTTGGAAGAGCTGGAGTTCAGAACCTCTTTAAGGGGTTCTGAGTGGTTTCCTTTCCAGGTGTCTCAGGGATTTGGAGAACTGGGGGTGCAGCTGCTTGAGTCCTTGGCAGAAAAATAGGCAAAGAAAATTGGGATAGTTTCTCAGCATTCATAACGTTATTCTTTCACCCCATTTCTGTCTAGGCCCCCCCCCAGGATGCAATGGCACAGCCCCCCCGGCTGAGCCGCTCTGGTGCCCCTTCATTTTGGGACCCAGCTTCCCCTACTCCCACCTCAGGCACCAGGCCTCGACTTTGGGAAGGTCAAGATGTGCTGGCCAGATGGACGGATGGGCTACTATATTTGGGGACTATCAAGAAGGTAAGACCTTTGACCTCTGACCTGTCACCTTTCTCCCATCCCCTTTGTTCTGGTTCCCATTTCATCCTCTGTGCTCTCCCATTCTAGGTGGACAGTGCTCGGGAGGTGTGTCTGGTCCAGTTTGAGGATGATTCCCAGTTTCTGGTTCTATGGAAAGACATCAGCCCTGGTAAGAAAGACCCTAGAGGCCTGAGTATGCATCCCATGGAAAACAGAAGTCTGACTTGGGGGACAGAAAGGAGCTTAAGAACAGGCCCCATGACCCTGTGTTCCTTCACAGCCGCCCTCCCCGGGGAGGAACTCCTCTGTTGTGTCTGCCGCTCTGAGACTGTGGTCCCTGGGAACCGGCTGGTCAGCTGTGAGAAGTGTCGCCACGGTGAGAGGGGCAGGACGCCTAAATGATCCAGGCTGCCTCTGGCCCTTCCCCTCAGCACTAGTCCTTATGCCATCTGTTCTGGCCCGAGTCCCCCCTGCTGCTGCTCTGGCCAGTAACTTCACCGCTTCCAGCACAGGGAAAGGCAACCATGGGATGGGGACGTGTGTGTATTGCAGGCAGAAGGTGGTTCAGGTACATCCTTTCTAACCAGGGGCCAATTCCAAAACCTCTGAGAGTCTCAGTTCTTGCATGTGTAAGAAAGTCATACACCCACCCCAGCAAGGCCATGGTCAAGAACTGTGCAGTGGATACAACTCTTCTATCCCAACACCTAGTGCGCACGGGGGTGTGCAGCGTGTAAGCGGTCTACCTATATTATCATTATTCAGCTTATCACCAGGACTGCCACGTTCCAAGGGCCCCAGCCCCCGGAGAGGGAGAGGGCACATCCTGGGTCTGCCGCCAGTGTGTCTTTGCCATCGCCACCAAGGTACAGGCGCCCTCCTGTGGGAAGCTCTCCCCTATAGCCTCCTCCAAACCCTTCTCTGCTCCCCTCTAAGGCTCCTGCTTGTTCTCTCTGCAGAGGGGGGGTGCGCTGAAGAAGGGCCCCTATGCCCGGGCCATGCTGAGCATGAAGCTCTCTCTGCCCTATGGACTAAAGGGGCTGGACTGGGATGCTGGACATCTGAGCAACCGGCAGCAGAGCTACTGTTACTGTGGTGGCCCTGGGGAGTGAGTAGTGAAGGGCTGGGGGTAAGGAATGAGTGATGTGGCAGGGGTTTTCCCAGGGAATGCAGGAGGAAGAACAGGGTGAGGGGAGTACTGCAGGGATGGGAGGAGGTAAGGAGCTGGGTATGGGCAGTTAAGGGGAGGAGTGTCCCGAGGCCACTAGTCCTGTGTTTACACTCAGGTGGAACCTGAAAATGCTGCAGTGTCAGAGCTGCCTGCAGTGGTTCCATGAAGCCTGCACCCAGTGTCTGAGCAAGCCCCTCCTTTACGGGGACAGGTGAGTCCAGGGGAGCCTCTCTGGGAGCCCAGGGGGCCAGTTTGCTCTGCTGCACACTCTCAGTTCCCTTTCGCCCATCTGTCTCTGACCCACTCTCTTGCCAGTCTCTGAAGCCGTCCTCGCCTGTCGCCCCATTCTTGTTTGAGTCCTCCACGGTGTGGGGTGGTTTTCGTGCATGAGGTGTATTCTCTTCCTCTTGCCCATGTCCAGGTTCTATGAGTTTGAATGCTGTGTGTGTCGGGGAGGCCCTGAGAAGGTCAGGAGGCTGCAGCTGCGCTGGTGAGCTGGGTCAGGCATGACCCCAGTGTATCTCCTCTCCCAATACTCCGTACCCGACGCACCCCAGCCTCTCACCCAGGGACTCTCCTGGCTTTTGTAATGCTTCCCAGACTGACAACTCTATGTGTCCACAGGGTGGATGTGGCCCATCTTGTCCTCTATCACCTCAGTGTTTGCTGCAAGAAAAAATACTTTGATTTTGACCGTGAGATACTCCCCTTCACTGCTGAGAATTGGGACAGTTTGCTTCTTGGGGAGGTAAGGGGTAGTGAAGCTTTGGGGGTTAGTGTGGAATAGGAAGATGTGAAGCAAAGGAGATGGGAGGCCTCACTGCTTCCTAGATTGCATTGTCCTTCCTCCCCTCCCCCAGCTCTCAGACACTCCCAAGGGAGAACGTTCTTCCAAGCTCCTCTCTGCTCTCAATGGCCACAAAGACCGGTGAGTTGAACGGAGGCCCCCAAAGAGATGGAGACGTGGGTGTGAAGCCTGGGAAGGGCTGGAACCCCAGGGAAGATAATCTCTGCAAGTTTGAGTGATGGCATGAGAGGGGGTCTCTCCGCAGCACGGATCCTGTGTCACTTCTCTCATTCCAGTTTCATTTCGGGGAGGGAGATCAAGAAGAGGAAATGCTTGTTTGGTCTTCATGCTCGGATACCGCCCCCTGTGGAGTCCCCTACTGGAGACGGAGTCCCCACCAGGTCACTGGTCCAGGAGGGATGGGGAAATTCTCAGGGCAATAATCTGGGGGTAAACTTAATGGAGATGGGGAGGTCTTTGGGGGCATCAGGGAGGGGGCTGGGGGGATAAGGAGGCCTCTTACAGCTTCCCTTCAGGGCAGGGCCCTGGGGGAGGGGTCTCACGTCCCCTGGGGAAGCGCCGGAGGCCGGAACCAGAGCCCCTGAGGAGGAGACAGAAGGGGAAAATGGAGGAGCTGGGGCCACCCTCAGCAGTGTGCAATCAGCCGGAGCCCCAGGACCAGAGGGAGCGGGCTCGTCTGCAGAGGGCACTGCAGGTACAGGAGCAGGGGGATCCCCATGGGGCAAAAGGTGGTGGGGGAAGGAGTCAAGAATTCTCTCTCAGTCTTTTGCTCCTCTTTCTAGGCCTCAGTGTCTCCACCACCCTCCAGCCCTAACCAGAGTTACCAGGGCAGCAGCGGCTACAACTTCCGGCCCACAGATGCCCGCTGCCTGCCCAGGTCAGTACTCCTCCACCCTCCAACCAGATAGGCTCCCTTGGAACCTGCAATTGTTTCCAGCCTCTGGACTTTATCACTCAGAATTCTCACCCTTTGGCTACACAATTCTTATTCTAGAAACTTCTAGAACCAATGTCTGGTCCCCAGTATTCCGGGGATGGCTGTTCCTTAGGGGTAGCGTTTGAGCTCTGCCCTTCTCAGGGGGAGAGGGTCTTGTTTCCTGCTTCAGGTCCTGACTTTCCCTTCTTCAACCTCAGCAGTCCCATCCGGATGTTTGCTTCCTTCCACCCCTCTGCCAGCACCGCAGGGACCTCTGGGGATGGTGAACCCCCAGATAGGTGAGATTCTGCCCTTTTACCTGTAACGCCCCCCTTGCCTCTGTGTTCTTAAATCCTCAGCCTCGAACCATTTCTTGCTTCCTCTGATCCACACGTGGCCTCCATTGCCTGTCAGTCCTTTTTTGCATCTGGACTCACAGTTGTCTTCTCTCCCTAGGTCACCCCTGGAACTTCACATTGGTTTCCCCACAGACATCCCTAAAAGTGCCCCTCACTCGATGACTGCCTCATCTTCCTCAGTCCCAGCCCCCTCCCCAAGTCTTCCTAGACGTTCAGCACCCCCTTCCCCCCTATGCCGTAGTTTGTCTCCTGGAACTGGGGGAGTCCGAGGTGGGGTTGGCTACCTGTCCCGAGGGGACCCCGTCCGGGTCCTTGCTCGGAGAGTACGGCCTGATGGCTCTGTGCAGTACCTGGTTGAGTGGGGAGGTGGGGGCATCTTCTGAAGAGCCTGCCCCTGCCCATCTCTCCATTCACACACACCGGCACTTTCAATACCCTGACCTCTGACCTCACCTACAGCTGGGATGTACCTGGCGAGGTAGGGAGTAATTCTCCCTACTGTCCAGGCTGGAATCCAGATGGGGAGTTGGGGAAGAGACTCTCTTCTCTACTCCCTTCATGATTCCTGACCCCTCCCCCATCCCTTTTCCCATTTCTTTTGATGTTATTTTGTTACAGCTTTTTAAATATTTTTTAAGATTATTTAACCCCTGGGGACAGAGACTGAGGGGGGGGGGGAATGATAAAGGATCCCAGACTCTATGATTGAAATAAAGATACATAAATAAATTTAGTAGCTCTGAGTTCATTCTGAAAGATGAAGACACAGGGACTGGAAACAGTCTCATCTTCCCCACCAATTCACAGACGTGCAATGAAAAAGGCAAAAGGAGAGAGAACCAAAGATAACATTTATTAGGGGCCATCACCTGGAAGTCGGGGGGCATGGACACGGCAGACGCAGGGCTCATCATGGCAGGACTGTGTTGGAGTCAGAAACTGACTCTGTAACCTGGCGCACCCAATGCAGGTACGGGGAGTTCCCCTGCTCCACGGGCAATGCGATCACCTCGGCCACCTCGTAAGGGTGCACAGAACTGTGGAAAGGATGGGGGGAGCACCCGAAGATTGACCCAAAGAAGGCCACGCCCTCAGACTGCCCAGCAAGTCCCACCTCCACAATAGGTACCCTCACCCATCTACAAGTTCTTACCGAACAAAATCTGTCAACGCGGGAACCAAGGAACTCTGGGTCTTAATCATCTAAGGGACAAAGAAACATGGCTAACTACTAGGTGGGGTTGATTTTAGGATCACCGATGAGGGACGAGGGACAAGGGTCAGGGAACTGAGGTTTTCTGGGGTTGGGGAGTGTTTCTCACCATCAGCACCTCACTGTCTTCCTCAATCTTTCCTTTCCACTCATAGCTGTAAAGGTTAGGAGAGTGTGTTTCCCCAAGGAAAAAGGCTGCCAGTCAGCCCCGAGTGTGAGGTGAACCCCCCAACTCCTATGACTCACATGGATGTTATCTGAGGAATGAGGTTGACACAGGCTGCCAGCCGCTTCTCCACCACAGCCCTGGAGGTGAAGAGACAGCCCATTCAGAGCGCTCCATGACCCGGATTTTTGCACTGGAGGCCCAGACTCAGGCTGGCAGGAAGCAACAGCTCCGCCCCCAACTCTCCACGCTCATCCTTGCGCCACACCGAGGTCCCCACCTGGCAATCTCCTTAGCGACCTTCTCATTGGGGCAGGTGACAAAGGCTGCAGACACCGAGCCGGGAACATAGCCGGAGCCCGAGGCCGGTGAGGGCTGGGGCGGAGGGCTTCCTGAGGCCATGGACAGCAGGGCTCGGGGTAGCAATAGAAGGCGGGAGGTCACAGGCAGCAGCGCCGGCATCCAAAGAAGCGACAAGAGCAGAGCGGCCTGAGAGCAAGAGGTGAAATCGGTGTTTCCCACAAACACCCCAGGAAACTTGCACCCCGGGAAGACTTCGCTTGGACACTCAGGTTCTGCCCTCCCTCTTCGGCATCCTCAAGGAAAAGGTCCTTGAAGCTCTGAGAGAAACTTGAAAAATTAAGGCAAAGGCATGATTTTCACTCGCTCTTCGGGGGCCCAACCTCTGAGAATTGGGGTACGGGTAGCGGTCGGGCCTTTGAGGACCGGAAGGGGCGGGGCCGGTCACTCACCCCTCCGCTGAGCAGGAGTACGGGAGCCCGTCCCCCTCTCATGCAGCCTGCGCAGGTAGAGGAGGGCTGAATACCAAGCGCCACAAGTGAGGCGGAGAAAGAAACCCACACCCAGGCAGAACGGCCTCTTCTTACCTGGGCGGCAACCACGTGATAAGAAACCAGCGCGCACCACGTGACGGCCGAAACCCGACCACCCCAGAGCCAGCCAATCGTGGCCCTCACGTGGCTCCGCTTGCCCCGCCTCCTGGTGAGGAGGAGCGAGGGGGGGTTGGACCAATCAACAAACGGCTCTGCAGACGTGCCTGGAAATGGCACGCCCAATGCCGTGTAAACCGGAAACGGCCCATTGCAGACTTGAGAGGCGCTGCGGCTTTCCACTGTCACGTGAGGGGGCCGGGTCCTCCCCGGGCGGCTGTAGCTCAATGAGCGACGCGAAGCAGCCAATCGCCGGCCTGTCCCGCACGCCACGTGACGAGCGAGAGCTGGCGCTAGGGAAGGGGGGCTGGAGACCCCGCCGAGTCGATGCGTCAGGTTGTGGAGTTGGGCATCATCTTTAAGCCCCAAAATGTGCCTGTTGACAGGCTCTGTTCTCGAGGCCCTAAAGAGTGGGAGGGTCAGAGGAGATTAAACCTCAGGGAGTGAAGAGAGCGCCCCCTGCCATTTTGGTTAGCACCCATGTTTGCTGGATTTGGGAATGAACCAAGATAGCTGAGAAGCCAGTTGTCCCTGGGTAGGGGGAGGTGACTGGGCAAGCACGGCCATGGCAAGATGATGGCTGGTCATGGAAGATGCGCCCTGTCAATGGCATAGAGGGTGATGAAAATGGGTCTGAGGGCGCCTCAGATTTCTTTAAGCTCCTGAGCTGGAAACAGACCGGTGAATCCGGGGAAAGGAGAAATGAGGGCTTGTGGTTGGGGATATGGCGAGAACTCCGGGAAGTAGTGATGGCAGTTTGTCATTTATCCCTTCCTGTTTCATTCTCCAGGACAGGTCTACTACCCCTCAGTCTTGGGTCTCCTTCCCTTAACCCATCCCCCTAGGAGCCAGGACCTGCCCTACATTACTTCCCTAGGGCCCAAGCACATCCTCTGACCCAAAAAATGGAGAGAGGGGCCAATGAGAGGAGATAGAGGTGGGACAAAGCAGCAGCGAAGAAGGCTCTTGTGCACCCCCTACCCAGTATTCCCCCTTCCTCCAAGGGCTTTTACAGGCTGATGTGAGTTCTCTCATACCTACCTGTCTGGGGTTGGGGACTCCTGGGAGACCTCTGTCTTTGGTTTGGGAGTTTGTCTCTGAGATAGATCTCTGTGGGGTCTCTCAGTATTTACATTGGAATCTTTCTCAGGACTGAGTTTCCTTTTTACTTTGGGGAGGGGTTCTGGGTCCTTCTCCGAGGTCTGTCAACCTCTTGAGTTTTGTGTGTGTGTGGGGGGTCTTCTGAATTTTCCATCCTTGGGATCAGTCTTCTTTCTCTCCCTCCCCCCAAGTATGGAGTTTATCTGTCTCTGGATCTGCAATTTCTTTTCTCTGAGATCTAAATCTGGGGTCTCTAAGATTCCTCTCTGCGTTTGAGTTCTCGAAGACCGAATTCCAAATCTGGGTTCTTTCTGAGTCTGGGTCTCATCTTTTTCTTTGGGTCTAGGTCTCAAGTCTTGGTCCCTGGAATCACCACCTGAATCTTGTGTCTCAGATTTCTGTGGTGATGGAGAACCTTCTTGAGCCTGGAAGCTCAGATTTTCACCTTTGACCTCTGGGGAGGACTTGGGGTATTTCTGACACTGGGGCGTTTTTTCCTCTAAATTTTGGGTTTGTGCCTGAGATTACCCCCCCTCCTCCGGGGGAGGGGGACGTGTCTTCCTCTGTGGGTCTGGGGTCTCAGTCTCTGGGCCGGTGGGCTGCATCTGCACAACTGCGCTCTTTCTCTTGGGTGTGTTTGAGTCAGGGGTCTCCTTCTCTGTGATGCTCACCGAGTAGGGGTGGGGGCTGCAGTGTCTCTCTCTCCTCCTCCTCCGGCTCTCTCCTCTCTCGCTCGCTCCCCCGCCCCCCTCTCTCTCTCTCCCGGCTGCCGCTGCTGCCGTTGGCTCCTATTCTCCTCCTCCTCCTCCTCTCTCCTCCTCTCTGCTCCTCTCAGCTCCTCTCTCCTCCTCTCTCCTCCTCCTCCTCCTCCTCCACCTCCTCCTCCTTCTCCCCCTCTCTCTCCCCCTCTTTCTTCTCTTTCTCCCCCGTCCCCCCGCCCCCTCCCCCAGGCCTGATGAGCAGGTCTCGCGCCTCCATCCATCGGGGGAGCATCCCCGCGATGTCCTATGCCCCCTTCAGAGGTACGGTGGTGAGGGGAGGGGGAGGGCCAGATGGGGGGGCATGAGGGGGAGGGGCGGGGGGGGGTGGGGGGCAGAGCTGGGGCCAGGGAGGGAGCAGCTGAAATGGAGGGAGAGAGGCGGACCGGGAAGGCAGGGATGGGAGCTATAGGAAAGGAGGGATGAGAGGCCAGAGGATAGTGATAGATGGGGGTCGGGGGGCCAGGAAAGGGTCCTTGACGGTGGGCTGGTAGGAAGATGCTGAAGGGAGGGAAAGAGATCGCCAGAGAGGGTGGGAAGGTAGAAGGACAGGGTGGGGGAAGAGATGCAGAAATAATTTGGAGGTGGGAGCTGAGAGAGAGAGATGAGGAAAATATACAGGAAATAGAAAGACTGTGTCTTAGGAAAGGGGCTACAAGGGGGAGAATGAAACCATAGGGGTGAGAAGAGAAGCCAAGAAGACGGGGGTTAGAATACGGGGGGGGGGGGCTCAGAGTGGTAGGGGGTTGAAAAAGAGAGGAAGATGGAGGGAGAGAAGAAGGGGCCAGATGGAGAGAGAGGGAGGCAGTGGGGGGGGGGGACGGAGGGTCCAGATGGAGGGAAGAGAGGAGAGTGAGGGAATGGGTTGGGGGAGGAGAGACCAGGGCAGGGGGAGGGCCAAAATATCTATGTTTGTTGAGGGGTAGGGGGGAGGTGGGCAATACAAGTAAGATTGAGTGATGGGAATGGAGGGGCAGGTTAGAACCCTGCCCCAGACTCTAACCCTCATTAAGGCCCTTGACCAGTGAAATATGCGCGCCTGGGATCTTATCTGCTTCTTTCACTTCATCACTTTTACCCCCTCCCCCACCTCCAATCCTTATTTCCATTACCCCTCCCTCCTCTGGTGTCCATCACCTATATCTTTCCCCCCATATGGTGTCCGTTCCTTATATGAGTCCCCCTCTGTCCTTCCCCTATATCCGTCCCCTCTCTGGGGTCCATTCTCTCTCCCTCCTTCTCTTCTATCTGGAAGCTCCCCTGTATCTCTACCACTCCTCCACCCCCTCCTTCTTGATCCCCTGTTCTGGTTCCCCTGTTAAGTCCACCTCATTTCCTCTGCCCCATGTCCAGGAACTTATCATTTCTGCTTCCTTTTCTCTTAGATCCATCCCTGTTATTTGTCCCCTGGCCCACCCTCTATTCTCCACAACGTTCCCCATATCTTGTTACTAGTCTGTCCTACCCATGTTCCCTTAATAATCCAACTCTTATCACCCCTTCCATTTCTGTTTCCTCTGCTTCCTGGAGTGTTGGACATCTGGGGTGCACAGACACAGTTGTTGATGGCTGAAACTGGGCCTTCACCAGGTCCTCATCTGATCCCTGTGGGATTTCTCATCCTAGTAAATCTCCTTTCTCAGCTGTGTTCCTCTGTCTCTTGCATCTGCCTCCTAGAATCGTCCTTATTTAAGTCTAGACAATATGTGTGTATGTGTGTGTCCAGAGTTGCTTCTAAGTTAAGTTCCCTGTGTCCTTCCCTGCTCCCAGAAGGAAGGTACCTACTTCTCCAAGTCTAATCTGCCTCCCTGTGGCTGCAGTTTAAACCAGCCTCTCCCATAATGAACATGTGTATTGATAAATTTCTCCTCTGGGGTTGCTCAGAGTCTGAGTGGTGGACATGTTGCCTGCAGTGTCTGCAGCCTCAGAGCCTAGATACTGGTGATCTCCTATCAAGAGGGTACTGGTTATGGCATTGAGATAGTGAGAGTTTCAAAGTGCTGAGTGTCTAGTTAACTAAATTCTGGGTGTTCATTTCTGACTCCAGCCTGCAGGTTGGCTAAGTTGAAGGACCTGCTTATAGACAGAAAGGGACTAGATTTTTTAGCCTCTGTGGGGCATTCAGTTGCAATGAAACTCGAAGACATGGCACTTGCCCTGCATATAGCTATGTTTAATTATTCTGGAAAGATGACAGATTTTGGTTTGTCTTCCTCTACACACTCTCTCACTCTGATACGTTGAGCCGAATTTTTATCATTGTTGTCAATTTGACTTTTCTTCCAAAGGGCTTGTCCCCTGCATTCCTGTGATGGAGTGTGACATCAATATTAAAGGAGGGACAGTTTGCAGGGATGGGGGCAAAAGAAGAATAGCCAGGTTGGGGAAGAGAGACCCTGGGAGATGTCTCTGAGCATGGGTGACCCTTAGTCTACTTCCTCTTCTGGAAGTTTTGTCCCAATCCCCAGGTTGAGTCTTTGGAGGCCCCCCTCTATGTCACGAACCTGGATCTTTCATTCTTCCCTCCCTTCTTTCCTTGTCAGGCTCCCCACTGTGCCTGGTGAGGTTCCTAACCTATGGCGTTGGTGTCCATCCTGTCCATGGAGACTAGGTGGGGAGGGGGGCAGCATAGAATCTTTGCTCTCTGGGCATGGAGTGGGGGAAGCAATCAGTTCTGTCACTATTCATTCAAACAAGGGCATATTCCCTACCTCCTCCCTCCCTGGCTCCTCCACAGCCAGATGCTGACAGGATCCATCCTCCCCCTACCACCAGAAGAACTAGAACTTTCCTTAGAGGATGAGCAGGGTTGGGCTAGGGGAGGAGGGGGTGGGGGGTGGAGAAGAGGCAGGAGGGGAGGCCCTCTCCTGTCTCTGATTCTGTGAACAGGTAAGCTTCCTCGTTTCCTTTACTCCAGATGTTTGGCTCACAGCATCTCATGACCCAAATGTTCCTGCCCCAGCCCCATCCTTCTTCCTCACAGTCTTGTAGCTTCCCTGCTACTCTTGCAGATGGGTGCTGCCACCTTCCAAGACCTTGTTTTCTGCAGTTATTTGGATGCCCTCCCTCTGTGTGTTTTTCTTCTGCCAATGGTGCCATACCCTCCACCTCTTAATTTTTCTGAAGTGGATGGAGAGCACCT